TTATCTGGGCACCTCCATGGCGCTGACCTTATTTGCAGCATCTGTGTGAATGCAGCAAGATCTGCTAGCCAGTCAGCTGGCTCCTCCGAGACATCCACAATGCAGTCGTTTTTACCAGATAGTGCTCGGTCTTTGGTTGAAACGAATACTGCTTGGCCAATTCAGAGCTCCTAGGAACAAATGCAAGAATGTGTCGTAGAAGCTGCTCACCGAAGACATCCGCGTTTGCCATGGCAGACCACATTTAAATAACAAGATAATTTATGTGAGTTTGTTTGTTGTGGAAACTGTCATGTCCAACGATGTGGTCGCTGCCGCCGCGTATCCTTCAACACCAAGACCCATAATGGGCTGTCATCATCTCTTGCGTCTTCATTGTAAAACAGAATGTAATACAGTGTGAAATCGACCGTGTGCTCACGCATCCAAGATAGTGGCAAATGGCCCCAGAAATGGTGGCCCATGTCTGGAGGGCCGTTCATGAAGACTTGGTCGTAGATGTACAATTCTCTCGAACCAGCATCCATCCAGTCATGGAAGGATAGCAACAGCGCATCATTCAAATCAACTGAATTTGTTTGAAACGACGTATACTGCAATCTCCCCGCAGCTGCAAAGCAATCGGCTGCCATGCGTGACTTGATGTTAGTACAGCTACAACATTTTGGGGACCTCAGTCGATTGCTAGAAACTTTCGAAGGTGGACTTGCATTCTTGCAATCTTTACTTGAATAATGGGCTTTTCGATAGTGTAGTCCACATGTGAGCAATAATCTGCAGCTTCCTGATGTCACATAAGCAAGCGTGAATATAAACAATGCCATCCTCTCCCGGGGCCCTGGCCTGATGAAGACCCAGCTGTGTAGAAGAACCGAAGACCTTCTAAGCATTCAAGCACCAAGACCTGCTGTGACAGATTACATTGAGTAATACTTTCGTAAAAGCATTTTCGTTCAGCCACTATTTTTTGCTTACAGTCATGTTTGCTCGGCCAGTTCAGGGGGGAGCAGGGTCTTCTCTTGTTAGTATGGAGACGCAATATTAGAAACGATATATGAAAGCTCTGTTATAGGCAGTCGAGAAGAGGAGTATCAAGACAGGACAGTGAGAAGTGCAAGACAGTAGTTTGCATCGCAAACACTTTTACAAACAGACGCTTTTTACACACAGACGCTTTTAAACACAAAGCTTTTACACACAGAGGCTTTTACACAAACACTGTAACACAAACACTTTTACACACAGAAGCTTTTACATACAAACACTTTTACGCACAGACGCTTTTACACACAAACGCTTTGACACACAGACGCTTTTACACACAGACGCTTTTTACACACAGACGCTTTTTACACACAGACGCTGTCACACACAAACACATGTACACACAGAGGCTTTTACACAAACACTTTTACACAAACACTTTTACACACAGAAGCTTTTACATACAAACACTTTTACACACAGACGCTTTTACACACAAACGCTTTGACACACAGACGCTTTTACACACAGACAACCTCTACACACAGACGCTTTTTACACGCAAACGCTTTCACACACAAACACATTTACACACAGAGGCTTTTACACAGAAACACTTGAACACAAACACTTTTACACACAAACACTTTTACACACAGACGCTTTTACACACAGACACTTTGACACACAGACGCTTTTACACACAGACGCTTTTACACACAGAGACTTTTACACACAGACGCTTTTTACACACAGGCGCTTTTACACACAGACAAGAACGGCACAAGTAAAATCGCACTTTTACCTCAGTTTTTGCCGATCGACCCTCATTTCGCGCGAAAGGGTTGCTCCAGGACAAGTAAAATCGCAATTTTCCCTCAGTTTTTGCCGATCGACCTTCATTTCGTGCGAAAGGGTTGCTCCGGCACAAGTAAAATCGCACTTTTACCTCAGTTTTTGCCGATCGACCCTCATTTCGTGCGAAAGGGTTGCTCCGGGACAACTAAAATCGCAATTTTACCTCAGTTTTTGCCGATCGACCCTCATTTCGTGCGAAAGGGTTGCTTTAGCACAAGTAAAATCGCAATTTTACCTCAGTTTTTGCCGATCGACCCTCATTTCGTGCGAAAGGGTTGCTCCGGCACAAGTAAAATCGCACTTTTACCTCAGTTTTTGCCGATCGGCCCTCATTTCGTGCGAAAGGGTTCCTCCAGGACAAGTCAAATCGCAATTTTACCTCAGTTTTTGCCGATCGGCCCTCATTTCGTGCGAAAGGGTTGCTCCGGGACAAGTAAAATCGCACTTTTACCTCAGTTTTTGCCGATCGACCCTCATTTCGTGCGAAAGGGTTGACGTTTCGTGACTCGCCGCCGGCACCACCCTCGGCCTTAAGAGAGAAAGATAAAAAGAAGGCATGAGAGAGAAGGTGAGCAGGTGTGAAGATAAGAAGATGTGAAGATGAGCAGATGTGAACATGAGCAGATGTGAAGATGAGCAGATGTGAAGATGAGCAGATGTGAAGATGAGAAGATGGGAAGGTGTGAAGATGAGCAGGTGTGAAGATGAGCAGATGTGAAGATGAGCAGGTGTGAAGATAAGAAGATGTGAAGATGAGCAGATGTGAATATGAGCAGATGTGAAGATGAACAGATGTGAAGATGAGAAGATGTGAAGATGAGCAGATGTGAAGATGAGCAGATGTGAAGATGAGCAGATGTGAAGATGAGAAGATGTGAAGATAAGAAGATGTGAAGATGAGCAGATGTGAAGATGAGCAGATGTGAAGATGAGCAGAGGTGATGGGAAGGTGTGAAGATGAGCAGATGTGAAGATGGGAAGGTGTGAAGATGAGCAGATGTGAAGATGAGAGGATGTGAAGATGAGAGGATGTGAAGATGAGCAGATGTGAAGATGAGAGGATGTGAAGATGAGATGTGAAGATGAGAAGATGTTTTACAGACCCCCACTATTGGAAGAACCCTGCGCTCAGACGCTCTCGGGAAAAATGAATATGGTACTCAGGGTGTATATACTGGGCAGCATGCATCTTGTGACCATATGGAATGTAGGTTGAGGCAGAACCGTGACTGTCATGGAAAACGTGGTGAAACACAAATCAAGTAGATATAGTGGCAGAATAGATTTCAACAAGTGTCCTGAAATACTGTTTTCAGAGCTCAAAAAAGGGCTAGTTAGGACAACATATGCCAATTCCTCTCGCAAAAACATGCAAATAAACTCAGAAGTAAAAAGCTACAAAAGCCAAGAAACCGCAAAAGCCAAGAAACCGCAAAAGCCATCGAACCAAAACAATGTCAACTATACACCTTCAATATGTATTACATTGACTTTATTTTATATTTTTTCTTCAGAAACCGGTTGCTATAGGAAAATGACTTTACTTCATAACATTTACTTTTACTTGAGAAGTCACTGGGAGAAATTTTCTCTTCCTTTCATAGTATTTACATTTTGCAGCAAGGGACATATCCTTATACAGGTTTCACATGCTAATTTCTTCACATTCCTCACAATATTTGGACATTCCTTCTGCCTCTTGTATCAAATTCAAGGAAATTCGAAAAACTATCACACATCTTTTGGCACATTCTTGATGCACTTTTGATGCACTTTTTTTTTAAAACATTTTACTAATTTTGCAAAAATCAACAAAAAATACGTAAAATCTTCTGGATTAGTAAAATTGCTAAATTAGTAAAATTACTAGCTTTGGAGACTTAGGGTACCAGCCGACAGCCTGAAGGTAATGCCAAAAGAAGAGTTTCAACACCTGTTTCGTTCTTTGCTTGGAGGAATTGCCTGGGTAACTCAGGCGCGACTTGACATAGCCGTTTATGTGGGCGCGTCGCAAAGAAGATTGCAGTGTCCCACAGTGCAAGACCTACTGAATGCCAATCGTGTACTGCAGTACTTGACATGCAAACCTCTTGCGATGAAGTTTCGAAAGCTGAACAGACTGTGGCGCCCTGTGGCAATCTCAGACTCTGGTTTTAAGGCAAGGGAGAAGATCAAGATCATCTTGCAATTCGAAGTGGTTTGATTTGTTTGGTGGACCGTGATTTTCCCCAAACTTGGCAGAAATGGCGTGCAGATAATCGAATATGTGTCCAAGAAAGAGACCCGAGTTTGCAGGTCAGCATATTATTGCTGCCGAGCTTTACAGTGCCTTGGACCTTGTTGGGCTCTTGTTTAACATTTCTTTGACGTTGACAGAAGTGTTGGAAGGACCCAGTACAGCCTGTGCACTTGCCGATAAGTTTGAAGCTGGTAAACTTGCGTTGGAAGCAGACCTGGTTATAGATGCAGCGTCCGTGTTTGATCACACGGCAACAGCTGAGCCAAGAGCACCACACGATGCGACAATGACAACCCACTCCTTGAAACTGCGTGAGCTGTTGGAAACGGGTAAGTTGACGCGTTTGATTTGGTGCGATACAAGATCGATGCTTGCGGATGGCCTGAACAAGGGGCACAATCGACAGAGCAGCTTTGCAATTGGCAGTCAGTGATGCGGCGTGCTGGAATATAGATCAAGCAGTTCGAGTTCACCAGATTCCAAAGCAGATGCCAGAACAAAGTTCGCGCAATGAACAGCCTGAGTCGAGAGGGGTGCGTCCTACACATTCTCCTACATAGCCATATATGCCATAACTTGCAGCTTGAGCCCTGACTGAACAACAGCATGAGTGACCGCCGTTGCCTTTCTTCAGACTCGAGTTGCATTCCCCTTTGACATGACTGTTTGTTTTACTTTTTTCGCTGTGCATGGAGCTGCTCTCAACATGAGAGCCAGTGCGACTGAAAAGGGAAGGGCAGCTGGTGAGAGACGTGTTGTTCTTGGAAGAACCTCGATATATAGGGCAAATTCCTACAGGGCAGATCCCAACTTGTGAATGCAGTGCTGATTTTCCGCCCATTCACTTTTCACATCTTTTCACCACATTGTGCATTGGATCTAGTGACTCTGAGTGACTCTAGGAACCAATCCCTGTGAGGTGCTCATGCGAAGCCAACTTTTGGCTGCAAGGTCATGCAGTGGCAGCTGTCCAGAGGCTGTGTGTGTTGGGAATTCTTTCTGGAAGAAATTCAAGCAACCGAAGACATCTGAAGACATCTGGAGACATTGAAGCCATACTTCATCATACTTCATACTTGATGTGGGTGCTGCATAGTAGAACCATTGACAAAGGCCAACGCGCTTCCGAAGACACGATGCGTGTCCGGCCTTCTGCAGTCCCCTTGCACTCTGTTGTGGCCTTAGACATCGCTGAGCATGGTTTCCCAATAAAAGGGTTTGTGGGTGTGGCATTGGTCATGGAAACATGGCATCATTTCTTAGCTTCATGGTCTCCAGTGGTAAAGCTGCATTGGAATAGTGAATAGCCAAGGGCAGAGCACACAGAGCCCAAGCCTCTACCTCCCGCACCGGCGGGCTATGCTGCCGCCTCAGGTAGTTCAAGCCACCTGAGAATTTTTCACTTTGTCAAAACACCTTGTGGTTGAAGCTGCAATTCGGAGTGAGTAGCGCTTGTTTAACTTTTGGAGATGCAAATTGGTGATGCACGCTTGGATTGCAATTTATTCTAGCCCTATATACCAGTAGTACCGCACAAGGCGGTGGCGGAAGTTTCAAAAATAGGAAACCTATAGGAAAGGTTGGTTGTTGTGAATCCGGAATGGCAGAGCGAAGCCGCTGATGGATCGAAAGGTGATTGATGTCTCCTCTCTTTCTCCCTCTTTCTCTGACTATCTACCTACCTACCTACCTATCTATCTATCTATCTACCTATCTATCTATCTACCTATCTATCTATCTACCTATCTATCTATCTATCTATGTATCTATCTATCTATCTATCTACCTATCTTTCTTTATCTATCTATCTATCTTTATCTATCTATCTATCTATCTAGCTATCTATCTATCTATCTATCTATCTTTATCTATCTATCTATCTATCTATATCTATCTATCTATCTTTATCTATCTATCTATCTATCTTTCTTTCTTTCTTTCTTTCTTTCTTTCTTTCTTATCTATCTTTATCGATCTATATCTATCTATGTATCTTTATCTATCTATCTTTATCTATCTATCTTTATCTATCTATCTATCTTTATCTATCTTTATCTATCTTTATCTATCTTTATCTATCTATCTGTCTTTATTATCTATCTATCTATCTTTATCTATCTTTATCTATCTTTATCTATCTTTATCTATCTTTATCTATCTTTATCTATCTTTATCTATCTTTATCTATCTTTATCTATCTTTATCTATCTATCTATCTCTCTCTATCTATCTATCTATCTATCTATCTATCTATCTATCTATCTATCTATCTATCTTTACCTATCTATCTATCTTTATCTTTCTATCTATCTTTATGTATCTATCTATTTATCTATCTATCTATCTATCTATCTTTATCTATCTATCTATCTATCTATCTTTATCTATCTATTTATCTTTATCTATTTATCTTTATCTATCTATCTACCTTTATCTATCTTTATCTATCTTTATCTATCTTTATCTATCTTTATCTATCTTTATCTATCTTTATCTATCTTTATCTATCTTTATCTATCTTTATCTATCTTTATCTATCTATCTATCTATCTATCTCTCTCTCTCTATCTATCCATCGATCTATCTATCTATCCAGCTATCTATCTATCTATCTATCTTTACCTATCTATCTATCTTTATCTATCTATCTATCTTTATGTATCTATCTATCTATCTATCTATCTATCTATCTATCTCATCTATCTCATCTATCTCATCTATCTCATCTATCTCATCTATCTCATCTATCTATCTATCTATCTATCTATCTATCTATCTTTATCTATCTGTCTATCTATCTATCTATCTTTCTTTCTTATCTATCTTATCTATCTTATCTATCTTATCTATCTTATCTATCTTATCTATCTTATCTATCTTATCTATCTTAACTATCTTATCTATCTTATCTATCTTATCTATCTTATCTATCTTATCTATCTTATCTATTTTATTTATTTTATCTATTTTATCTATCTTATCTATCTTATATATCTTATCTATCTATCTATCTATCTATCTATCTATCTTTATCTATCTATCTACCTATCTTTCTTTATCTATCTATCTATCTACCTATCTATCTATCTATCTACCTATCTATCTATCTATCTATCTATCTATCTATCTATCTATCTATCTAATCTATCTAATCTATCTATCTATCTATCTATCTTATCTATTCTTATCTTATCTTATTAAATCTTATCTTATCTTATCTATCTATCTATCTATCTATCTACCTTATCTATCTTATCTATCTAATGTATCTAATGTATCTAATGTATCTAATCTATCTAATCTATCTAATCGATCTAATCGATCTAATCTATCTAATCTATCGAATCTATCTAATTTATCGAATCTATCTAATCTATCTAATCTATCTAATCTATCTAATCTATCTATCTATCTATCTATCTATCTGTCTGTCTGTCTGTCTGTCTGTCTATGTATCTATCTGTCTATCTATCGATCTATCTATCTATCGATCTATCTATCGATCGATCTATCGATCTATCGATCGATCGATCTGTCTATCTATCTATCTATCTACCTATCTATCTATCTATCTATCTATCTACTTATCTACTTATCTATCTATCTCTCGGTCGGTCTGTCTGTCTATCTATCTACCTGTCTATCTGCAAACTTGAAAACCGAACTATTCTGCGAGATTTCTTTATTTTTCAAAGTGGACGACATCAAAAACGCAGCAATTCTGCGTGACTTCCTCATTTTTCAAAGTTGACAACATCAAAAACATCCAAAACGAAGTAATTCTGCGAGACTTCTTCAGTTTTTAAACTTGACAACATCAAAAACGAAGCAATTCTGCGAGACGTCCTTCAAAAATGGAAAGTTGAGTGCAGCGCTGATGGCCTCGTACCAATGCGTTTTGCGATTTTTCCAGTCCACCTGTCTAAAGTACTGCGCCTGCCACGAAAAATAGATGCCAGGTCATACGAAGTGCTGCACCTGTCACGCAAAATCACCTTAGCAAACCTGCACATCTGATACTCCAAAATGCAACCCGTCTCAGGAAATCAGCGCCCTCACCTCCTAACATCTCTCATGAACATGTCTTTGGTCTGCGCCTGCCACAGAAAATGCATCTTTGCAGATCCTCTTCAAATGTCCCACGCCTGCCATCGTTTTTGGAAATGCCACAAAACCCTCACGTTTTGCTCACTTTTGACAAGGTGCACAATCCCTTGCGCCTGTCACGCGAAACGACATCTGAACCTCCAAAAATGGTCCGTACATGGTGTGTTTTGTACATTTTGACTTCTAAATGTGCTTCGCGCCACAACGGCGCGCACTTTTTCGACATCTCAACTTCCAAAAGTGGTCCGTACATGGTGTGTTTTGTACATTTTGACTTCGAAATGTGCTTCGCGCCACAACGGCGTGCACTTTTTCGACATCTCAACGAGTAAAAGTGGTCCGAAGCTGGTGTGTTTTGTACATTTTGCATTTTGACTTCGAAATGTGCTTCGCGCCACAACGGCGTGCACTTTCTCGACATCTCAACTAGTAAAAGTGGTCCGAAGCTGGTGTGTTTTGTACATTTTGACTTCGAAATTTGCTTCGCCCCACAACGGCGTGCACTTTTTCAACATCTCAACTTCCAAAAGTGGTGCGAGGATGGTGTGCTTTGTACATTTTGACTTTGAAATGTGCTTCGCGCCAGAACGGCATGCAATTTTTCATCTCTCATCTGGCCAGCTGGCTCCGCACCCACCGCTTTAGCGAGCCTACTTTTGGACCCTCCGGAGCCCCAAATCATTGGAAAAACACAGTGTTTCGACCTTTTCGCGCATCTCCATCTTCTTTCTTCTTACTCTTTCTCTTCTACTCTTCTCTCTTCTGATCTTTCTCTTCTCTCTGCCTCTGCCCTGCTTTGCTTTTCATCTGTCCATATTGTCGGAAGTTTGACTTCTAAACTTCCTTCGACAAATATATTTTATATGGAGTTCCGATCCGGAGAGCCACCCAAAAGTCGGATTCGAGTCGGTTTCGGGTTTCGGGTTTCGGGTTTCGGGTTTCGGGTTTCGTCGATTGAAACCAACTTTCGCTGTCGGTTTCGGGTTTCGGGTTTCGGGTTTCGGGTTTCGTCGATTGAAACCCACTTTCGCTGTCGGTTTCGGGTTTCGGGTTTCGGGTTTCGTCGCTTGAAACCAACTTTCGCTGTCGGTTTCGGGTTTCGGGTTTCGTCGATTGAAACCCACTTTTGCTGTCGGTTTCGGGTTTCGGGTTTCGGGTTTCGTCGATTGAAACCCACTTTCGCTGTCGGTTTCGGATTTCGGGTTTCGGGTTTCGGGTTTCGTCGATTGAAACCCACTTTCGCTGTCGGTTTCGGGTTTCGGGTTTCGGGTTTCGTCGCTTGAAGAAACCAACTTTCGCTGTCGGTTTCGGGTTTCGGGTTCGGGTTTCGTCGATTGAAACCCACTTTTGCTGTCGGTTTCGGGTTTCGGTTTCGGGTTTCGGGTTTCGGGTTTCGTCGCCTGAAGCCAACCTTCGCTGTCCGTTTCGGGATTCGGGTTTCGGGTTTCGGGTTTCGTCGATTGAAGCTAACTTTAGCCGTCCGTTTCGGGTTTCGGGTTTCGGGTTTCGTAGGTCGAAACCACCTTTAGATTCACCAGTACGATGCCGATCTCACATCACCCAAGTGTCGTTCTCCATGCAGTCGTCAAAAACAAGAGCGGTGAGTGACAAGCGCCTGAAAAGGTCAGAGAGGAAAAACGGCAACGGTTTGGGGGAAACTAGCTGTCACTGAGTGGATTAGATTAGATTAGATTAGGTAGAGTAGATCAGATTAGATTAGGTAGAATAGATTAGATTAGAATTGGATTAGATTAGATTAGGTAGAGTAGATCAGATTAGATTAGGTAGATTAGATTAGATTAGGTAGATTAGATTAGATTAGATAGATTAAACTAGATTAGAATTAGAGTAGGTTAGGTAGATTAGATTAGGTTAGACTATATAGATGAGATGAGATTAGAATTATATTTGATTAGATTAGATTAGTTTAGGTAGATTAAATTAGATTAGGTTATCTAGATAGATTAGATTAGGTTAGATTAGATTAGTTGGATAGATATGATATGATATGAGATGACATGATATGATATGATATCATTAGATTAGATTAGGTTCGATTAGAAATATAAGATTAGAAGAAGTAGATTAGGTTAGATTAGATTAGATTAGACTAGGTAGATTAGATTGGATTGGAATAAGAATTTTTATAGAATAGGTAGATTAGATTAGATTAGATAGATTAGATTAGATTGATTAGATTAGATTAGTTTTGGTTAGATTAGAATCTGATTTGATTAGGTAGATAAGATTAGATTAGAATTAGATTACTTAGATAAATAGATTAGGTTAGATTAGGTAGATTAGATTAGGTTAGGTAGATTAGATTAGATTAAAATTAGATTCGATTAGGTAGAGTAGATAAGATTAGATAGGTTAAACTAGATTAGAATTAGATTAGATTAGGTAGATTAAATTAGATTAGATTAGATTAGATTAGATAGATAAGATTAGAAATAGATTAGATTAGGTAGATTAGATTAGATTAGATTAGATTAGAATTGGATTAGATTAGGTAGATTAGATTAGATTAGATTAGGTTAGCGATCGGTCCTGGGGAAGTTAAGTCTTCAGAGTCGGTTTCGGGTTTCGGGTTTCGGGTTTCGCAGTTCGAAACCAACTTTAACAGTCGGTTTCGGGTTTCGGGTTTCGCAGTTCGAAACCAACTTTAACAGTCGGTTTCGGGTTTCGGGTTTCGGGTTTCGGGTTTCGGGTTTCGATCGGCCCTGGGGAAGTTAAGTCTTCAGAGTCGGTTTCGGGTTTCGGGTTTCGGGTTTCGATCGGTCCTGGGGAAGGTAAGTCTTCAGAGTCGGTTTCGGGTTTCGGGTTTCGGGTTTCGATCGGCCCTGGGGAAATTAAGTCTTCAGAGTCGGTTTCGGGTTTCGGGTTTCGGGTTTCGATCGGTCCTGGGGAAGTTAAGTCTTCAGAGTCGGTTTCGGGTTTCGGGTTTCGGGTTTCGGGTTTCGATCGGTCCTGGGGAAGGTAAGTCTTCAGAGTCGGTTTCGGGTTTCGGGGTTCGGGTTTCGGGTTTCGCTGGTCGAAACCAACTCTGCAGACCTCTCTCCGGATCACGTCTCTTTATATGTATACCAGTAGTACCGCACAAGGCGGTGGCGGAAGTTTCAGAAATAGGAAACCTATAGGAGAGGTTGGTTGTTGTGAATCAAGGATGGCAGAGCGAAGCCACTGATGGACCGAAAGGTGGTTGGAGTTGTGTTTTTTGGAGCGGTTGCAATCGTTGCAGTGGTCACCTCACTTGCAACTCCTGGATGTAGTGTGGTGTAACGCAGTTGTAGTTGTAGTTGTAATTCTGCTAGACTTCTTCAATTTTTGAACTTGACAGCATCAATAACAAAGCAATTCTGAGAGACTTCCTTCAAAAATGGAAAGTTGAGTGCAAAGCTGACAGCCTCGTACCAATGCGTTTTGCGATTTTTTCCAGTCCACCTGTCGAAAGTACTGCGCCTACCACGAAAAAGTGATGCCAGGTCATACGAAGTGCTGCACCTGTCACGCAAAATCATCTCAGCAAACCTGAAGATCTGATGCTCCAAAAATGCAACCCGTCTCAGGAAATCAGCGCCCTCACCTCCTAACAGCTGAAGATGTCTCTTGCAATGCACCTGCCACGGAAAATGCATCTTTGCAGGTCCTCTTCAAATGTCCCGCGCCTGCCATCGTTTTTGGCAATGCTACAAAACCCTCACGTTTTGCTCACTCTTGACAAGGTGCACAATCCCTTGCGCCTGCCACGCGAAAGCACATCTGAACGTCCAAACGTGCTCCGTACCCGTCAGTTTTTGGCACTTTTGACTTGGAAATGTGCTTTGCGCCACAACGGCGTGCACTTTTTCGACATCTCAACCTCCAAGAGTGGTCCGAGCATGGTGTGCTTTGTACATTTTGACTTCGAAATTTGCTTTGCGCCACAACGGCGCGCACTTTTTCAACATCTCAACTTCCAAGAGTGGTCCGAGCATGGTGTGTTTTGTACATTTTGACTTTGAAATGTGCTTCGCGCCAGAACGGCATGCACTTTTTCAACATCGCAACTTCCAAAAGTGGTCCGAGCATGGTGTGCTTTGTACATTTTGACTTCGAAATGTGCTTCGCGCCGCAACGGCGTGCAGGCTTTCGACATCGCAACTTCCAAAAGTGGTCAGAACATGGTGTTTTTTGTGCATTGTGACTTCGACATGTGCTTCGCGCCACAACGGCGTGCACTTTTTCGACATCTCAACGAGTAAAAGTGGTCCGAAGCTGGTGTGTTTTGTACATTTTGACTTGGAAATGTGCTTCGCGCCACAACGGCATGCAATTTTTCATCTCTCATTTGGCCAGCTGGCTCCGCACCCACCGCTTTAGCGAGCCTACTTTTCGACCCTCCGGCGCCCCAAATCATTGGTGAAACACAGTGCTTCGCGACTTTCCTACCTTTTCGCGCATCTGCATCTTCTTTCTTCTGACTCTTTCTCTTCTCTGATCTTCTCTCTTCTACTCTTCTCTTCTCTCTGACTCTTCCCATCTCTGCTTTTCATCTCATGTTGTCGGAAGTTTGACTTCTAAACTTCCTTCGGTTATATTGTATATATCATATTGTATATATTGTATATATATATATACACATATATATATAATTATACTTATATTTTATTATATATATATTTATTTATAATATAATAATATATATATATATCTCTCTGTGTAATGTAAAATAATTTAATATAGCACCCTAAAACATAATCTTCTTTAAAACAAAATAAGATAATATATAAGATAATTTAATATAATATAATATTTTTTAATATAATAAAATACTGCGATTTAAAATAAATTATTTTAAGATATATAATATCATATAATATTAGAAATATTTAATAATACAAAATATTTTTGAATTTAATATATAGTATATAATATAGTTTAATAAAATTTAATATTAAAAAATAGTTAATGTAATAATCCATAATATAATATAATATAATATAATGTAATAAAATACAATATAATACAATCAATACAATATAATATAATATAATATAACATAATACAATACAAAATAATATAATATAATATAATATAATATAGTATAATATAATATAATAATATTTATTCATACATTATTTTGCATATTTTATACATTTTTTAAAATATATATTAATATATATATTATTATTTTTATCTTTTACAATTTTGATTTTATATTTTATATACTATATATATATTATTTTTTAAATATATATTATACATTATATTTGATTTATGATATATGGTATATAATATTTTTTAATTAACATTATACACACACACACGCATACAGATGTCCATTTATACTTTAGGATATGCAAGTGCATGTGGACGTATGAAATCAAAACTCACATTTTGGTATGTTGTACGTGGGTGTGCACGGTGATACCTACCAAGTCTTTGTTGGAAAGACCCTGCTACGCACATTTCCTCCGAGTCTCTGTAAACTTGCCACGCTCAGCCAAATTCCCGTTGAACCTCTTTTGAAATGTTAGTAGAAACTGAAAGCCACATCAATTGTGTGCATTTGCCACAAGACTCAGTCTGTTCTGTTTGTTCTCGAATGTGGCACAGATATGTCAACATTTTGCCCAGGTTCGTGTTGTCTACATTCATTATTGTTTTTCCTTGTGCAAGTGTGACGCGTCTTCACACCTCCCCCTTAGCCACCTTTGCAAGCTGCGCCCACTGCTGGTTTAGGACAATTCACAAAATGTTAACATACCCACCTTACTCACACCTACAGCACATATCACATATCTTTACTATCCAACAACAACAACAACAAACCGCTCAACGCGGAAGTCAGAATCCAATATCGACCCGTAAACTAGAGTCTGCTAGAGTGGCACCTTGCTGCAACTCGCATTGACGAAACTCTCATCACCATTCTGAGGCGGTAGAAACCACGGATGTGGAGCATGCGGATCATGTCAAGGCACTGTGCGGCATTTTTCGAGAACTATTCCTATGTGATCCACGTTGCTTGTGGTCAGATTACGTCAGATTGCATCATGTATTCGCGTTTGCAGTCAATGACAACGCATGAAAATCATTGATGTGTAGCCTGGTGAGGAAAACGGTTGAACCATGTTGAACCGATTTTTGGGGGGAATCTGCGGTCGTGTACAGTAGCTTTTAATTTTTATTTTATTGTTATCTTTATTTAATCTCTCTCTCTCTCTCTCGCGCAGGATGAGATGCACACTCCACGAGATGCAACACGTGGAAGGCAGAATGGAGTAGACAGAGGCTGCGTGGAGACTCCCGAAAAGCCAAGGTTCCCAAAGAGCAGACAGATGGATGCAAGGGACACCTTCAGTCACGAGAAGATCTGGAAAATTCCTGCCTTGAACCTCAACGCTGATGCAAATGAGTTCATCCCTGGGTCCTTTGCATCCTTGCTGCCTGCAATTCTACCGTCGGTCCCAACTAATCCTTGCATTCCATCTCCTGTCCCTCCTGGACTGGAGATGTGCGGATTGAATGGAATGGGACCAGCATGGGACGACATGACAACGCAATTTGGAATGGAAAGTGGTTGGGAGCAGTCCACTTTGTCAACTCATTTGTCCTCCTTCCCTACATCTGAGGCCTCTCCAAAAGACTTGGTTGACGACGGTGAAGAAAGCCAGAGTGAAAATCGCATGCTCAAGCTCGCCTCATGTTTGCTGCGATTTCTTATGCAAGCTCCTGTTTTGGAGACATCAGACTTGATGAAGATCATTGAGACTCAATTGGGTGAAGCCGAAGATTCAGGCCCCTGGTGTCAGAGGGATTTGAAGACGGTATCGTTCACCTACAAGGATCTGGCCCTCCTGGACGCAAGGCTTGCTGCACTGCTGCACAAGCTTTCCCCAGAGCTTTTGGCGAGGCTTCCAAGGCAGCTAAATCTTGACTGGGACCCTACAGGCATGTCTTGGAGCTTCAAGGAACCACCTGAATTGCGTCGGCTCATTGCCAAAAAGAACAAGAACCCAACTTTGGGTCAGTTCAGCATCACGTTCTTGTCGCACGCAAGTGGATGTGTGCCCATGCATTTAGATAGGATGTTGAAGTTCAAGCGTGCCGGTATAGCATGCCTGCAGGGCCTAGATTCAAGCACCCCGGACCTGGCTTCTGGTATAATTGGAAAAGGCTATGGCAAATGCTGTGGGAAGGGACCTTCCGGAGCCAACACTATCATGTGGGACCGAAGCTACTGGGCATTTTGTGCAAGTCATGAGTGTGATGCGGGATTGGCAGTCGATCTGATATCAGCGGATCAAGCTATCCGTATTGCTTGCTGGCGGCCTAGGCTTGAGCACAGCTTCGATGGTAGCTCAGAAGCTTTTGGCCACTTCCTCCTCTCAGAAAATGTGAATCTGGTGGTTTGTGCAGACTTGTCTCTCGTCGGGGGCACTTCGTCTGCGGGACTTGTGCCGGCACTTCTGGGTTTGCAGTCTGCCATGTTTGAGATCCTTGGTCATGAAGTTTTGACTCCGAAGCCGGTCTTGGGTGATTCTGATGACTTCCATGCCTTGTGGGATCCATGTGGCATCTTTTTCCGCGGTGTAGAACCTACGACAGCTCTATCTGGCTACACTGAAGGATACCTTTCCAAAATGTTCGAAGGCAGCAGCGATTTGTCCAGCAACTTCCCGGATGGAAAGCCAGTTCTGTTCGCGGAGTTTGGCGCCGGCTTGTCTCGAGACCCGGATCTCAAGAAGTGAATCTGTTGGGACGGAAGGGTCGGAATTCAAAGATAGATTATAGAACTCAATAGACTTCTTTTCACTCCAGCACCGTGTAGCAAATATTGCTGCATGGTCCCCTCCAGGACCAGGTGCTCCCAAATTTGCAATGTAATCGCAGGATTAATTGCTGATGAGACACACGTCTTAGACTATAATCATGAAATTGTCATGAAAGCACAGAAAACATGGCATAGACAGTAGGCGAAACCGCGGTTTCACGTGGAGGAATCCGCAACCTGCCGCTGAGGGTAGGGCCAGTGTCTTACAATTTCTGAGCAGATTACAAGCTATTTTAGAGCACAGAAAAACGACAGCCTTTCAGCTTTTCCATTCTCTTTTCTTGGCAGTGGCCCAGAAGACTTGGCAGGACCGGATCTTGGGGCGAGAAAAGACTGTTGATGTTCGCCTAGAATCGGCTCGGGTTTTATCAAGCAGTACGAGACAACACTATATACAGATTATACAGGAATAGCCAGGGATAGCCAGGGATAGCCTCTATAATTCGCTCCTTTGACTTTCAAAACCGACGACACCACTGGCTAGATTCACCAGATTTCACCAGAGTGCAGGCTTCCACAGCTAGGGCTCGAACTGATCCACAAGTGATTTCGAGATATTTCGAGTTATTTAAGCCATTGTAGCCTCATGGCGACGGCAGGGGCCTCTTGATGTTGAAGTCAGAGAGCCATCACATTTCAACAATTTTTGATAGGCAGAGACGCATTACATCAATATCATCACATTATTGACTTTGCTATACTTTGCATTTTCTTGAAAAGCACATTTTTGTCATGACTATGCCGCTGTAAACTTGTGTTCATTCATGCTTCTGTTGTGATCACGGAAGCCAACCTTAGGTGGCTATGGCATGTTGCATGTATATACTAGTTTACGTAACGTCTGACACAGAAATTTAGACGTTCCAGTGGAAACGCGGCCCACCTTGTGTTTTGATGTGGACCAACTTTGCTGACATCCAGTATATCAAATAAAAACTTCGCAGTTCTTGCAAAAGAAACTATGGTAAGTTACCGTAACTACATCTCCGTGTTGAGGCGTGATTTTTTGTTTGGTGAGTTTATTTGCGTTCTTTGCATCATCATATCATCCTTATCAGCATCATGATTTATGCTGTTCCCATCAGCTTGTGGAGATGTCTCTGTTGTTCTCCTAATCAGAGTATCAGTGGGGGTATCAGCATGGTTTACGATCACGATCTAGTCTGAGACACTAGTGGTGCTAGCTTTCATCAAGTCCATTCACCGGGCCTGAAGTTGTGGTGGATCATTCTTTACTCTCCTATCTACGTGACTGAGGCGGGCAAAGTGCGAGTGTTGCACTTGCTGTGGAACTGGCCAAGATTAGCGCGGCAACACAGCGCCAGAACTGGCAGCCTTGAAGATGAACAAGGCAGGGAATTTCTCCAGGCGTCGCCAGCTCCATTGCCAGGTGCAAGCACGAGAAGTCGCGCAATCCCGTCTCCAGACGAACGAAAGAGTCCACGGCAAGCGCGCATTCCTCAGTTGAACTCGTTCAATGTCAGCAACAAGTCATAAATAGATTGACTCTGGGCAAACTACTGAGAATTGTCACTTCGCCGAACTTGCTGTATTTGAACTGTGGGACACTCACACTCATATTCACTCATAAGATTGTTAAAGTTTCATGGTGTTTTGGCATGACCAAGACCTTATCGACCAACTTGAGAGGTTTCTGTGGCATCAGCCCACGAAGAGCTGAAGGCAATCCTTGGGAGGTTAGAAGGCAAATCGGGGCAGGACCGCATTTGTACACCAGATATGACTCGACGCTGAAAGCATTCTGATGGCATGCCGATAGCCTCAGCAACAGTGACCATCACTGACCACCATCGATACCATCCAAGTTCCAAATGATTCCAAATGCTTTATTTTTTTAAAATTTGTCCTTTAAGTTTACAGTGGTGGATTCCTGGATTGGTTGATTTTGTGGCACACTTGTGGCTCCTGCTTCAGGAGCTGGTGGATGCATTCGCCAAAGAGGCACAGCTTCGAAGTGATTGTGGTTCTTTTGCCCAGGCAGCTGCTTGGGAGTTGCGTGTGAGTTGTAGGACTTGAATCCATCAGTTGTCATCGGTCAACTGCAGTAACCGCTGTAGTATAGTATTAGTGTCAGTGCTTTCTCAGATTCAGTCGAGGGCTGTGGTGATCCCCGCTTCAATGTTGAAGTCAATATCCCACGGCACCTGAAACGAATCATTCATCACTCTTGCAGCCTGACAGATACATGCATCCACACCCGCACGCCTGCAGACAGAGAAACAGATGCAAGCTGGAAAGCGTGGGTGGCACATGCAAGACATGTAGTCGGATAACGAGTCGGATAGGAAACTTAAACTTCAGTGCTTGCGTTCGTTTTCTGTGGTGACACAGCTGCAGGGTGGCGATTTGGGTTTTTTTGGACCAAGCGAAATGCAAAAAGAGTTCGAGGAGATCTGAGTCCTGTTGTCACCTTGCTCTCAACCTGCGCCAGTCAGTTTTATCATTTCATTCACTACTTTAATATGTTTGAATCGTGTTGAATCGAGCGGCGATTTTTCATTGACGCGAAGGCTCCATACATTGACACAAATTGAGGAAGCATCTTTTGCGCTTGAAGTTGGGCAAATGAGTAGTATTGTGGACTCTCAGAGCGGCAGTCACATCATCATCAGTAAGCGCCCCAGTGCCAAAGAGTGCACTTTGTCTCATTCCTGTCACTTGCATGCATCATTCGCTGTCTTACTTTTCTTAACTGGACGTTGCCGAAGTGAAGTCAGAGCCTTCTTCCTGAGGAATCGCTTGAGCTATGAGACACTTTGGGCAGCGGGAGCGGTAGAGCGGCAGAGCAGTAAAACGCTGCACAAAGCTGGGAAAAAATCTGCGTCCCATACGTTTCTCCGGAGTGCGGAACAGGGCTGACAGGGCGCTGCCAGCACGAGACTAGCCTCGGCATTTCGCAGCATTTTCAAGTTATTGGCAAACCTTCGCAAGACTTTGCAACATTGCCCAACATTGCAACAGGGAAGTCATCCCCTGGAAACGACAAGTTCCGCCTCCGCTTGGAGATGCGGTGAACATGTGGTGCATGGAAGATGCTGGCGGATGCTGAACATGGCATGGGGAAGATGGAAGAGCTTGACGGGACGACAAATACAACATAGTACAACATAGTACAACCAACAGAAGTGCAAGAGCGAGGAAAGCTAAATGAAACGAGACTTGTAGCAGCTTAGCTGCAGCTTCACAAAACGACACAAGTCTGGAAGAGCGCTTCCGCCGAATTCAAATCCTGCTAAGACCGGGAACTACGCGAGCCGTTGCTTTGATCAACCTTTGCTGGAGGTACCACCAAATCACCAGAATCATCATCACAAACATTCGCCAGTTCCAAGGCTTCAATGTGGCGCTCGCTGTAAATTTGATGATCACTTGCGATGTCTAAAACATCGCGATTAACTCTCATTCTATAGTTTTATAATATTTATAATGTTTTATAAAGTTTTATACACAAGCATGCACACCTACTTTGAGTCTGGGAAACACTGGCCCCAACATGGCGCGTTTGGGCAAACAGGTATCGACCCCTCACAAGGTTTCCCAATGGAAAAATGAACTGTGTTTGATGCAGCGCAAAGGCATTCTAAGTTGCAAAGGGATTTCACAAACTGCAACGCTATGGCATCGCTGCCAAACATTGCGGGATTGATCAAAATTGACTCGTATGATCTCGTATGTACTTCGTATGTCACGTCATGATTGGAAACAAATTCCAGCAACAGTGCATGTGTATGCATGTGTAATTGCCATCCACGGTGCGACTCACAAATATGGACATGGATGCTTGATCGCTGGTTGCAGATCATACCGTTCACGGATTGATCCAGGAGTATGTGCATGATCTCGCTCATCCCTCATGTCAAATGCAGAGGTATTTACAGTAGATTTGTATGTCCAGAGGTGTCAAGCTGCAGCTGTGCTTCTAAAGTGGAAGCCAGTGGAAGCATTGAAGTGCGAACCTAAATGCTTTACACAACATTACACAACTATACAATCAAAAACCATCAAAAACCTACAGGATAGTCCATTTTAGCTCCAAAAATTGAGTGAGTGCCATCCGCTCGGAGAATGATTAGCAAAGTATTTGGCCAGTCTCCCAGTGCAGCCGCAAGATGTGCAACAAGTTGGCACTGGTATCCGCAATTACAGTACATAGTCAACGTCGAAACCAACTTGATCACTCAAACCATGTGATACAAATATAATCAAATATACGTATAATAATATATAATAATATATATATATATATAATAATATATATATATAATATATATATAATAATATATATATATATAATATATATAATACTATATATATACATATATATATAATTATATATACACGTATATACATATACATATATATATATATCATATATCATATAGCATATATCATATATCACATATAATATATCATATATCATATATCATATATATATATATACACATATTATATCATATATCATATATATATATATCATATATTTATACATATATATATATATATCATATATTTATACATATATATATATCATATATATCATATATATATATATATACATACATATACATATTACTTCCCACTCACGGTTTTACAGAAGTACATTTCCAATATGGATGGCTCTATGTGGTGTGCAGCAGCTTGTTCAAGAATCAATGAAACAAGAGGTGTCAGAGTTGTGAAACCAGATATAACTAGTTTTTATGTTGGGCTGCAAAAAGATTGCAAGATATTGTCCCCTTCTCTTTGAAATCTTTGAACATCGTTCAATTAATTAGTGACCTAAATTCTTCCAAGGGCGCCGACATCAAGTCACAGGTACTCGTACAACCCTTGCCACTTGCCACTCCCCATGTCAAGCGATGTCATAATCCAACATTGCACTAAACGGTATGTCTTAATCTGCATTCCAGGAAAATGCTGAACGAGCCCTTCCGGTACTGTGTAGCGGCAGTGTAGCGGTGTACATTGGTACAGAAACTGACTCAGTCGGTATGTTTTTCAAATTTTCCTTATTTTTCCTTCTCCAGCAATTCTGCAACATTTGCTTCATCCGGCAGCCCGCCGCGAGATTTTCTTGATCAAACCTCTGAACCTGGGCCTCCCTCTGGTACAAACAAAAAACTCGTGCCACCTGTGGTGTTAACGCATGTCCAAGAATATCGCACAATTTTTCTGAGACTTCGAAATTCGTCTTTTGTACGAAAACCAGCCGACGCCGGTTGAGCAAAGTTGTTTACTTGCGAACGCAGTGGACCAAAGGTCGTGTAAGCATATGTATATATATATATATATGTATTACTGTACTATAATTTTGCTATACATTTATATACATAGATACATTGTCTTGGCGGTGTTTTGGAGCCGTGAAGCCCAGGCATGCGCTGGGTAGCAATTCAGTGACAGTAGTAGGTATCAAGGGTAAAAAGTTCGGCGACAGAAGAGGCGGAAAGCAGATCAAACATGAAGTCAGAAAGGAAGAAAGAGATGCTTGGAGGCGTTCTCTCTTTGTCCAAATGCCCAACAACCCAGGATGTGGAAAGCAAAACAAAGCAAGGATCTGCCAACGATCAATTTTTAAACTCCGAACATGTCTTGTTTTTTTCGCAGTCAGAAAGGAGGAAAAGGGGCAGGTTCTTGGAGGGCGACCAGCAAACGGAAAAAAAAAGGCCGACACGAGTGACACGAGGAAAGCAGATTCTAGGCAGATCATGCATCAAAAACATCATTGGAGGCGAGGTGTCCTGCATGCCTTCTAGGACAGACGTGGCCGGAAACACGAATGAATCAAGAAAGTCGTTGTTTTGGAGATTTTTGGAGATTCTTTTGGGCGACTCCTGCGTCGTTTCCTGGAGTCTTGCTCCTGACGAATCTCCCTGTCTAGTGTCACGGTCGTGGCTTACAATGCTTGTGGCGGGTGTGTGCGCGGCAGCTCGTGTTTTCAAGTCTTGAGTGCAAAGAGAAATAGATGGTATGGAAGCAGCCTGTGTTAACTGTTTGCGTAGCCCCAACCCCGCAATTACTGGCATGTTGAAAAGCAAATTTGGCGCGAAGAAATAGGTCAGGCTATATAATGTCGTTTGAAGGCTGAAAGCGGTTCGTTTACTTACCACTACCACCGCACACATCGCACACTCCTACACTCCAGTGTGCGTCGCAAATTTGTTTGCCAGCCCTGCGCTGGTTGTGGTTTTCTTTCCGCACTCTCAGGTTTGAATTGTGGCCTAATGTTGCTCAGGTCAGGTCTTAAACGTGTTAGCCTTGGTAAAGCAGATGTTTCTGATAATAGAATTCGTCGTCCGCAGATTCACATGTCATCTCGCCCTAATCCTCAGCTTTCCTGGTCAATGAACTGGGGTTGCCCAAAACAGACTTCGAAGAGCGCATAGAAATGCAATGAAATGCATAGAATGTTTAAATATGTTTAATTCGTGGTCTGTCGAAACTTTCCAAAACCGTGGGTTTGATCAGCGAACAGTCCCACGCTTTTGAGCCCACAACTTCGTTCCTTGGGAGAGGTTTGAACTTCATTCCTCCGGCCCAAAGAGTCAACCATTGCAGTATCTCGTGTTTCGCTGGTGCCCGGTTCATCCTAACATATCCTAGCCAAATGCTGGTGGACCAACATGAGACAAACGCATTTTTAATGTAAGTCGCATGCACTTTTCCTACCACGTATAAACCTTAGGATCAATATAGGACAAACCTGACAGCCTCCTGTATACGCTGACTCTAGT